CTACCTTTTTTTTTTTACAGGCATCGCTCTCCCATTTCACCTGATCGTCCCGCCCGCCCGCCCGGGTTGCTCTTCGCCTCCCTTGCCCGGTCTCGTCCCCGCCAATCGTGCCGCAGCGTCGGTTTCTGTCCATTTGCTTCCCTGTTTGCTCCAGGGAACAGTCACGTCAGAGCCTGTTCCCTTGCCAGGGACTTCAGACAGCGATGCTGCGTGCGGCTGGGGGCTGAGCCTTTGCTTTCAGGCAGCCTCAGCCTCTCTTCTGGCGTCCTGAGACCCTGAGATTGGACAGGTTAAAAATTATTAGGAATTTTACATCGTATTTTTAGTTTATGGAGGGACATTACAATTCATCTTTCAAAGGACATGAGGCTGACTGAGCTGTTGGCTAACCTGATGTCCAAGCCCTTAACAATGACATAATATGCTGTCTTGTTGACCCTGGGGTGGGGAAGGATCATTCAGGATTACCTACCCCCACTAAATTGTAACAAGTCTGAGGAAGAATTGGTCTGCCATTTGAACTGTACATACAGACAGCAGTTTAGCAATGAAACTGGAGAGACAGCTGTGGGCAAGTTAAGTGTCATTATTTGAGTTGGAAGGATTTCTTAGGGTGATATCTTTTATTGGATGAGGATGTAGTTGGGATAAAGTTGTATCTTTCTCTGAATATATCAGGAAAGGCCAACTTTTGTAAAAAGTATTAAAGTATGTCATTACTAGAAGTGGTCAACAAGTCATTTTTAATATCGGATCTGACACATAGCATCTGCGTATGTCAGGATGAAGCCCTTAACATTACATTGGAGCATTTTTATAGTACTGACCAGGGTTTATATCAAGACCTAAGTAAAAATGTAATTTTAAATGTATTTAGTGTGGTTGGCTGCCAAACCCTAAGAAGCAAGTTTTCTATTAAACCCTAAATGGGCATTTTTAATTCACTTGAAACACAATTAATTTTGACTCCTTACATAGCTAAACTGAAACAATAGAAGACAGGCCTATACTGAATGAAAGTGTCAACACAGGGGTTTGGGGAGGAGATTGGGATTGCTCCATTGCAGCAGGAGCGAGAGCACTTGCAGTAAGGTCTGAAGGTTGGTTCCGGCCTTCACGACAAAATGACAGATGAAATTTGATGTTGGTAAATGCAAAGTGAAGCATGGGAGGAAAAACACCCCAAGATGCACGTACATGATGATGGGCTTTTGTTGTTGTTTTTTTTTTCAAACCCATTCACAGTAGTTGAATTCTGAATCTGGATGAGCCCTGGGTAGGGGAATGCCACTTACTGAGTTCCCCGTGTATGCCATCCACCCAGCTCATTGCCCGCATCACAGGTTCTCCTTGCAGTGCTCCCACCCCACACTGTTTCATGTGTGAGATATGAAAGGTGATCAGAAATGGCAACTGGTCAAACTCTTAAATCAGACCTAAGTGCAGGAGAAAGCTGCATACATGAAAGAATAAATTAAACACCCTGGTTTTGTGACAGAACAATTTTTTTTTTTATTTGTTCCAGTTGAATGGGCTGGGTACAATCCAGTTATATTTAAACTCTAGTTACATTTATCTAAGGCAATAGGGTAAATGAGATTGAAAACATTTCTTGTGCTACAAGACCTAGCTAGGTGATAGGTGTCCTTCATTTGCTAGTTGGCTGCAGTGGTTCCCCTGCTTTACCTCTGTCAGGTCTGTGTTGTGTCAACAGTAGGTTAGGTCTTATGTAGAGTTTAGTCTAAGGGTTGTATAGGATGTTGTGGATAAGGATGGGGATGAAGCAAGGGGTTGGACTAGATCACCTGTGGGTCATGACCTAAAAGTGGCTCGCAAGAATATATGGAAGGGTTGCAAACAAACTTCAAAAATGGATTCTCCTTTAAAGGACAAAATGTGGGGAAACCACCGGATGTCCCTTGCAAGCTGCCAGCCTGCCAGGGGCTACTAGGGGCCTCCATGCTCCATGCACACCACCCGCTGCCCCACACAGTGGGATGTTTTCTAAACTATTTACTGGGTGGGACTGGCCATCCATGTTTACAAATGCGCTCTGGTACAAATAAGGTTGAGAACCACTGGGCTGGACCTCTGGAGGCCCCTTCCTGCCGGAGGGCTCTGCTTTCCACGCTCCCTCCTACATGATAAGACATTAAAGGCTTCCAGGCAGAGGCAGGCTGTGGTCAGTCCAGGGATCCTGGTTTTCTCTGATTTAAAAAAAATCCCCAATTTTTGGTTTAAAAAAAAGTAAGCCCAAATTCACATTTTTCCATTATTAAAATGAAACACCTCTCTCTATATAGATATGGATATATAGATATAACTATATCAATATCTATAGGGATGTTTCATTTTAATAATAGGAAAATGTGAATTTGGGCTTACTTTTTTATTTTATATATATA